CTCCACACAAATTTACTCATCTGGGATGTTGATGAAACTTAGTGATAGACTCGATAGTGAGACAGAATTCCATTTTAAATTATTATAGGCCTATGAGAAGTGTTTTGATTAGAAAATTATAGTGTTTTCAGTCGTTATGTATAACACATAACAAATGTGCTTACCCTGTTTTAGTATTTTCCGCACTCAATAGAGAGGTCTACTGTGCATAAAGAGTGGTGACTCTTTTTAAAGAACTGATTTTGTTACAATAATACAAATGCTTAAAAATGTATTGTATACGCGTATAACTTGTTTTCAAATTACTTAGGTTTATATTTTCTATATTATCTTATATATAAAATTCTTCTGTACTGGTGTATGATTTGATACTTCTCCTAAACGGTTATTCGGATTTTGATAATTCTTTTTAGAGTTAGCCAAAAAATTTTTTTAAGATTTAATGAACGACCAATCTATAGTAATATTGTAGAAATAAATGGCAAAAATTACAAAAAACACTTATCATTGTTTGACATTGAAAACATTTGAACTGTAATCTGCTAGAAATATCAATTCTTTTGAAATTTGAATTTAACTGAAATTATGAGCCTAGATAATATTAGAGTATAATATACACGAAAAATGTAATGTCTACATTATTATTGCCGAAAAGCAGTTGAGATGTGCCAGAAATTAAAATAATGTATTTTGAGTCAACAGTAAATTTTTGAAAGATGAAATTATATAATTTAGTTTAAAAAATAACGTAATAAGTCCAAAATTGCATATATTAAAAATTTGGAACTTTTGAATTGTAGACGTGGGTACAGGACAACGTCTGTCGGGTCATCTAGTATATTTACATAAATCTTATCTGGAATTAAACCTATGGGTAAATTTACGTGCTACAGTTAGTGGCGCCCCTATGGAGTGTGGAAACGATATAAAATTTGAGGTAATAAAAAAGCAGCGGTGTTTGTGATCTATTTATGCTTCTTTTATCTATGGTTGGGATGATCTAGTGGTTAGGGCGATGGGCTTCTAATTTTATTATATTTAAAAATTAATTATACCGAGTTTAAACACTGTTTTAACCAACTGTTTAAACACTAGCATGATTGTAAAAAACAATTACTAGCATAAAATATATTGAAATTAGGAGAGGAGACCGATCCATAGACCTTAAGGCCCGTTCACACAGCACTTGCTTTGTTTGGTGAGTAAGATGGCATGCTGGTTATCAAGTTGGCAAAATGACATCGTATCAATCTCCATTTGTTTCTAGCAAGCGAGATTTTGATATTAGAACTTGCGCTATTTTTGTGGATGGATTATAGACCTATGAATAAAACTCGAATCGCACGACATTTGTTTTCTGGGCTGGCTCACAGCATGCTTAATTTTTATGTGAGTTGTTTAGATTTTTGAGTAAGATTTATTTCAGCTTGCTAGTTTATTAAATATTATAAACTACATGACCAAATACTGCCTCCCTATTGGTTCAAACCAACAAATTCATCTTCAAAAATAGCGCACTTCTAACTTTTCCATAACCAGATTCTAACTCGCCAGCAGACCAAAAAATCAACGAAACAAGCTTCGTGTGATTTGGACTTTGAACGCTATTTTTGTGGATGAATTCGTTCGCTCGAACCAATAGAATAGCAGTATTTTGGCATGTGGTTCATCACATTTAAAAGTCTAGCAAGCTAATACAAATCTGGCTCAGAGCAAGCAAGTATGATTTGAACGGCTTGAAAAACTGTCATAAAATCTAACGCGATAAAATCTAGCATGCTATCCAGGCCAGAAAACTAAAATAGCCAAGCTTGTAAGCACATGCTTGTAACAGTTGAATGAGTCTTAACATAAATATATAACAATAACATGTCCTTTGAATATTGAAAAAAGAGTTCTTCACGTGTCCATTTATAATGTCAAAAGTCGATAAAGATTAAATTATTATATATATATATATATATATATAATATATATAATAACGTAATCATTTCTTCATATCATATTATGTACTCTGAACACTTCCAAATACAAGCACCAACAATACTATCGCTGAGCGGCGGCGGCGCCATAATAAACATTATAATACATAATTATAATAAAATACTAAATTAAAAAAAAATACTGCAACAACAAATTAACACATTATAAAAAACTTATACTTCATGTATTATACTGTCTATGGACCGATCACTTAACCACTAGATCATTACAACACAATGACAGAAAACACTATAATTTTTATTATTAACTCTATCCCCATCACAGACGAGTAAATTCAAAGTTTTTCTTGTAAGATTAGTCCTCACCACTCGGCACTGATTCAAAAATAATTTACTAGGAACTCGGTGCCGCATTCTGACAAAAACGTGCCTTCTGTAAACTTGATATTATGGTGTATGTTAGGCAATTAGTTTTAAATGAATTTGTGGACTATGAAGAACATACATTTACAATAATATCTAAATTTATTTTCGGCAGAATGTTAAAGTTTATAGCAATTTTCATAAGGGTTGAAACCAATGTCGTTATAATTAATTAGCACAGTGACAGTTTTTTTAACATTTTACAGAAAGTTGTAACAGATCGTTTTTATGTATCTCTGTCATCGACCTTACACTACATGGACTGCTAGTCCCCATATGTTTTTCATTTTATAAGGTATCAATAGGTAGAAGGAGACTGTGTCGTCACTTAGTGAACGAGCGTTGCCGACAATCGTGGAACACTCCAGATTGATTAAATGTCATATGTCATGTGTTTTATTTTAATAATGTAATAATAATTGCGATTGTGTGAACTGATAATTTTATAAGAGATGATATAAATAATATATAATAATATTTTTCATAATAGTTAATTTGATTCAAATATTATTTGTGATAATATTGTTTCAATAATATATTGGGAATTGTGGACTGATAATTTTGTAAGAAAATATATTATTAATATTTCCTCTGTGAAATAAATGTACATAAAATCGAATTCACCTGTTAAAATCGGTTTATATATTATAAGTAGGCTTGCAATGAATAGTATATTCGGCAAAATGCCGAATATCGAATATTCGGCATGCTTCAGAAACCCAATACCGAATATTCGCCTAAACTCGTTCGTAAAGTAATTACTATTTGCAGTTGTTATATTACTAACGTACTACATGTATATTGAATTTTTATGCCCAGGCTTGCAACGACTAGTTACTCTTTCTTATTTGGAAAATAAGGACCAAAAATATTGTTCGCATGTTTTGCGATAAAAAGCTTATGATATCTCTTTATTTAGAAATGCTTAGATTGAATATAATGAATGACTTTATTGAATTTAGACATAACACGGGCTTGTAATCGTTGAATGATTTTTGACAAATAACATAAACATATAACAATAACGTGTCCTTTGAATATTGAAAAAAGAGTTCTTAACGTGTTTATTTATAATCACAATAGTCAATTATTAAATATACAAAATACAATAACGATTGTATTTCATTTCTTCATATCATATTATGTAAATTATAGACTTCCAAATATGCAGATCCATCGCAAACTCTTTATTATATATATATATAAAATATGAAACACACACAATATTTTCGCTGGGCGGCGGCGGCGGTTTCTTTGATTTTAACTATTCGGTATTCGGCCGAATAGTCGGTTACTATTCGGCCGATATCAAAAAAGGTGCCGAATATGCCGAATACCGAATAGTAACCGAATATTCGGTGCAAGCCTAATTATAAGGCATTGATAAGAAAATGTTATAAGTTCTATGCATAGACGTTTAATTTTAGGTTAAGCACATGACATATAACATTTAATCAATCGGGAGTCTTCCACGATTGTCGGCAACGCCCGTTCATTCAGTGACGTCACAGTCCCCTTCAATCTTTTGACACTTATTTTGCGCTCGACTAGCAGTCCATGTAGTGTAAGGTCTATGGTCTCTGTCTTTTTTGATAAAAGTTTCATTTTAAGCTTGGTCATTTTACTGTAGAACAAAAGATTAATAATAAAAAGAGTAAAAAAAATACTATGAAAATAACTAATAACAAATTTTGTAAAGAGAATATTACTGTCTTATCACTGAATAAATTCTCTAAGAATGAGCAACCTTTATAACTCACGGGTCTTATTGAATTTTTTAAATTAAATAGCAGGCTGTACTTAATAATAATTTTTAACATAAACATATAACAATAATATGTCCTATGAATATTGAAAAAAGAGTTCCTCACGTGTCCATTTATAATGTCAAAAATCGATAAAGTTTAAATTATTATATATATGCAATAACAAAATCATTTCTTCATATCATATTATGTAAACTGAACAAAAATACAAACACTAACAATACTGTCGCTGAGCGGCGGCGGCGCCGTTGATATATGCAAATAAACATTAAATATAAAAATACTAAATGAAAAAAAAAAAATATTTCATAAATTACTGCAACAACAAATTAATACATTATAAAAATTGATTGATGGATGAAAGTTGATGAAATAAATAAAATTCTACTTGGCTGGCCGCAGAAAGATATTCAAAATGCCTTAAAAAGCCCGCGAGCCGCGTGTTGCTCATCCCTGATCTAGTCAGTACAAACTAAGTCATTGTGTAAAAAAACTTCCGAGTACCTCAGAAAAGGCACACGAACTCCCAGTTACGTAGTCCTCTCAGAGGGACAGCCGAGTGGTAGGAGTGAATTATATAATAATCTATCTAAATGCATAATTATTTTATAATTTAGCAAATTTCTCAAGTTTTTGGCCAATTTGCAAACAAATTGAGTTTTTTCTCAAAATGTTTGCATGTTTTATTATTTACAAGTGTTAATAGAGTTCAGTTCGCTATTTTTTCATGCTGACGAGAATGTCCACAAAAATTATATAGATAAACGAATTTATTAATAAATATAGGTTGTTTATATTTCATAGACATTCTCGTTTTTGTTTTAGTAAAATCCTAAATACTCACAGACAATATGTTTAAATTTTCAAAAACTTGTTTTGGTAAAAAATATTACAGATCTGTACAAAAATTTCCTCTCAAACTGATTCAATCTTTGCTTGTTGTTTTGCAACAGGTTCTTTTCTTCTAAATGTAACATAAGTATATAAAAGACTCCCAAGAACACTCACATTGATTCCTAGAAAGTTCACAAACGAAAAAACATAGTCACCACCTATTATCATACCCAAATAAGTGACACAAATGTTTTTCAAACAGCCAATAATTGTCGTAGTCAACGCACTGTTGTAATGAGTACATAAAATAGTGCTGTAGGTTAAAACAAAACCCATAACGCAGGATAATAAAAATTGTACTAAGAAAAACATATCGTCCCAATGTTCATATTGCAAAGACTTATCGATATCTCCAGTGCAATATGCTAAGGCTACGGACGGTCCAAGCATGAATAAAGCATTATAAAACATTAAGCCATACTTTCCTAAGTCTTTAGCATCTAACTTCTTCTTCATATACACTCCATTGGCAGCAGTGAATATATTATTCAGCATAACGTACGAATAACCGATGTAGCTGAATGATAAGTCACTACTGGCTGCTAACAGGGCTCCGAAGACCATAGCATACACACTGATCTGCACACCTTTATTAGGATATATCTTCAAGATCTTAAGCTCCAAAATCATTGTGAAAAGTATTGAGAATCTTCTTAAAGCCGTAAACATGGGCAAGCTCAGAAACTGTGTGCCTCCAAGACCGAAGGCCATGTTACCTAGATAAATAAAAGGTAATGGGAAGATCTTCCTGAACGTGGACTTTTCAAAATCAGGGAACTTGACTATTGACAAATTCTTGGCGCAGAACAATAAAATAATCGTAGCCATCATCTGTCCTAGTCCTAAAACTTGGAACGATGGAAAATGATGAGAGGTTAGAATCGTTTTATTGACTACAGTGATCATAAAAGATGCAAAACCGTAAAATAGAGCACTTGCAACTTTGAATACACTGTGTGGCCTTCGGTAACAGTCTCTCCTGGTGTAGTCCCCGTCATTTTAATAGAAATAATTTAATTTCAACAAATCCAATACACGAAACCAATCACACACTAGCCTTTGTTATATCTTTCTAATTTAATTATAATAACTACGTCACCATTGCTTGTTTTTTGTATTTTCTAATAATTAATTAATTTAGTTACATAAATATTATAAAGTTGATCGAATTTTAATGCGTGGCATTGCTCAATTTTATTTTTACAAATAAATTTGACGCAATGTAAAATGTCACAACTGTCACGTTGACATATTCAAATGAGGGCGCAGAGAGACACAAACTTTATATAAAGATGATCACACACGAATTTTTTCAAAAAGTAATTTCAGTCCATAGACTCTCTACTTTTTACGATCCATAGATATACTAATTTTTTTTTATTTTTTTTTAATTTCAATAATTATTACAACTGCTAATTTATTAACATTAAGTAATATTGATAAATAATAATATAAATTTAAATAAATAAAAGAGCAAAGGATAAAATTCACATGAAAATAATATCCGTAGTATGATTTAATGTAAAATATAAGCAAATAATAATAAAAATAAGATTAATAAATAATAGAAATAAATTTCAGAATAATAAAATAATACTAGAAAAATAATAAAATATAACAAAATAACAATAATAGAAATAGTAAGATAATAATAATAATAATAATAATAATAATAATAATAAAATAATAATAGTAATAATAATAATAATAATAACAACAATAATAACAACAATAATAACAATAATAATAATAATAATATATAATAAATAATAATAATTACAAATTTATAAAATCGTTTGGAATTTTTCGTTTTAATCTTGTTGGGCGCGCTTCTGAGTATACTTTGTTGGCCAAGTAATTTGGGTGCTCGTCTATTTTTTTTTTGTAGTTGTTTGTTTTTTGTTGAATTTCTTCATTTACTGTCATTATGTTGCTGTCCTGGTGAATCAGCCAGTTGGGAACGTACCTAGGTGCATACAGTGCCTGCCTTATGATCTTGTTCTGCACTCGCTGAATAATCTGTAGATTGGTTTTTTTGGCAGTGCCCCATAGTTGAATCCCATAAGGCCACACTGGTTTAAAAATACATTTATAAATAATTAACTTGTTATTCGTCGACAGTTCGGAACGTTTATTTAGTAGCCAGTAATGTTTTTTGAATAGTTCATCAATCTGCTGTTTTTTCTTGTTAATGTGAACTCTCCAGTTCAATTTTGTGTCTAGGTGTATTCCGAGATATTTTACGCTATCTTTTACTGGGATTTCCTGTCCATTTAACTTAATTGCAGGGCATATACCAGTACGCAGCGTGAATGTGATATGCGTAGATTTTGAGCCGTTTGTCATAATTCTCCATAAAGAAAGCCATTTTGTAGCAATATCTAGATGTTCTTGTAATAGCTGCGAAGCTATTGCGGGATCTTTATTGGAGGCAATGATACATGTATCGTCAGCAAATGTCGACACGCTTGTTCCGGAGTATAAAGAAAAATCCGCTGTGTATATAAGAAATAGAGTTGGAGAAAGGACGCTTCCTTGGGGCACCCCAGAAAGGATCTTTCTTCTGGTCGACTCCTCGTTGTTAATGTTGACGAAAAATTCCCTATTTTCAAGAAACGATTTTATTATTGAAAATATCGGTTCTGATAAACAGAGTTTTAGTTTGTACAACAAACCAGTGTGCCATACTTTGTCAAAGCTTGCGCAACGTCTAAAAACACAGCCGAACAATATTTTTTGCATGGAACGATTCGTTAATTATATTTACTAGGCGATGTACCTGCTCTATGGTTGAGTGTTGTTCTCTAAAGCCGAATTGGTGATTTGGAATTAGGTTTTGATTCAATAATTCTGACTTAATGCGTTGGAGTAATAATTTTTCAAATATCTTCGAAACACAAGGAAGTAGGCTTATTGGTCTATAGGAAGACAATAAATGAGGATCTTTCCCAGGTTTAGGTATAAAAATTATTTAGCTATTTTCCAAGCTTGAGGGAACACTTTTAATCTAAGAATTGAATTGAATATTATTGTTAATAATCTAAATCCCTTTCTGGCAGTTCTTTTATCATTTTTATCGTAATTTTATCTGGTCCAGGAGATTTATTAGGATTTGCAGCCTTGACATAATTTTTCAATTCGGTCACCGTTATGCGTTTTACTATTTGGCCTGGTATAGATTCATTCTGTAAACAATTATGAATAAAATCTTCATCATTTACGTTGCAACTGCGGGGATGAGGCTGGAATGTATTTTTCAAGTGTTCTGAAAATTCTTCCGATTTTTCTTCTGAACTTCTTGCCCAGGAACCATCAAGTTTACGCACTGGAGGTATATGTACTATCGGCCTTTTTAATCTCTTCGTTGCCTTCCAAAGAGAATAATTGTGTCTTTAGTGGATGAGAGATTAGTTAAATAATTTTTAAGGTATTCATTCTTATATTCATATAATAAAGTCTTTAGATTCCTGCAGGCACAGTTAAATTTGTTTTTATCGGTCGGTGATCTTGTGGTTTGCCATATTTTTCGCAATTTGCGTTTTTGAGCTATAATTTTTTTAATGTTAATAGGATAATTAGATTTGCTACTTGCATTTGAATGTATAGTAGATTTTTGAGCTGCTGATGATAGTAGAATTGTGAAGTTTGTTATCGCCAAGTTTAAATCCTGTTCATTTTTAAGGGGTATGTTGCAAGAAATTTTTTCATCAATTATCTCTTGGAATAATGACCAATTAGTAAATCTACTTGTGAGAAAATATGAGTCTTTATTTACTTCTGTAGTTGTAGAATATTACAGAATAATTGGCGAATGATCAGAATTTAAATCTAAATTTGATTTGATATCTAAACAATTATTGTTAACGCCTTTAGTTATGAAAAAATCTATTAGATCGGGGATTTGTTAAGATCTGTTGGCCAATAAGTAGGCTCGCCGGTGGATATTGACTTAAGATTGTTTTTTTCCATCGATTTATAAAGTTCTCGACCCTAGGGTGTGATCAGTCTAGAACCCCAGAATGTGTGCTTAGCATTATAATCTCCTCCCGCTATAAATGAACTGCCCAGCGTATTAAAAAAATTTATAAACTGATCTTCGGTAATCCTGTGTTTAGGCGGACAGTAGATAGCTGATAATACTAGCTGGTTATGCGATGGTATAGTAACTGAAATTGATGTTGCTTGAAGAAAGTCCTTCTGGAATGGTTCAGCCTCATGATGATTTATGTTAGCTTTTATAATAATAGATATACTAATGTTTTTTTTTTTTGTATAGCGAAGGAAATGCATTTATGCATTCCAGACTGGTCTTTTGTCTGGGTATGTAGGACTCAATACCGCCTAGATAAAAGATAAACTAGTGGTGTATGCTTATTTACCTATAGGTATATGTGGGTGTATGGCATCGTGCGTTTAGCAAATTACTGGAACTTCCCGTACCGTACCAAAATATATTTACAGAAACGTAAATAAACAAAACTTAATCAGATTTAAAATAAAGGGCATTGTCGAATATTTGTAAGAATTATATAAACTGAGTTGCAAAGTTAAAATTAATCATTTAAAGTATATAATAGAGCTTTAGACCTTTAGCTAGAATTCAAATTAAAATCCGAATTATTTTCGATATACAAAAACAAATTTTTTTTGGAAAAAAAATTTATTTTGAAATAAAGAAAAAAAAATCAAAACTAATTGTTTTGTTAACACAAGCAGAAACTTGTATGAATCATTCAAACTGGATGTTCAGTTATCTCAAAAACTGCAATTATTTGCACATTTAACTCGGTATCTCCAAAACGACTGGACTGCCTTTGCCAAAAACTAATCACCACTTCTACCCGTCATCACGAATTGATAGTTTTTTAGATCATTCAAATCGGATGCTCCGTTCTCCCAAAAACTCGATTTCTGCACTCTTTGCTTCGTATCTCCGTAACGTCTGGATCTGCCTTTGCCAAAAACTAATCAGCACATCTCCCTATCATCAGAAATCGAAAGCTTTTTTAATCATTCAAATCGGTTGACCCGTGCGTCCGAAAACGTGGACAAAAAATTGTCTCCACACATTAACACACACACACATATTTTTTCTGAGGTATGCCAAAATGTTCAGAAAATCTCAAAAAGTGAAAAAATTCAAAAATTATCAATTTCGATTTCTGGACGATTACAACAACTTACTCCACGCAAAGTTAATAAACAGAATCTCTTATCTCTTTTTTTGCCACAAAATCCGATTTGATAATTTTATATTTTGTCGGCGTTTTGAGATCAAAATTAGGAACCCGTATGTCTGTGTTAAACAAAATTAAACATTCATTCGACGTTTTTTTAAAAAAATGGACACACCCGATCTCAAAAATTTAAAAAACATTCTTTAGCTTTAGTTGTAGAAAGAAATACAAGGATTCAGGAAAGTTGCTAAGAAAAAATTTCTTTGACAACGAAAAGGAACTAGTTGTAAATTGCATATTTCATTAAGACAAGATACAAAATCTTCCTGATACATGTGTACCTTACCCACATAGATGAACAAGTACATATAAACCTATAAGAACTGAGATTTACCTATACATAAACAAATATAAGATTTACCTATTTATTGCTCCGTATCCCTAAAGCGGCTGGACCTGCCTTTGCAGAAAACTAATCGCGATCCCCTATCAATGAGAATTGAATGCTTTTTACAGTTCAGTAAGCCTCCAAAAAATAGATATATTATACATATATCCTGTGCCAGATCCTTTTTTTATTAGACCTAGAAAATATAAAAATGGATAAAACAGTGAAAGTCGAAATGTTATATTACTTACTCAAAGAAAAGATGTACTTAACGGGGCGTCCATTAATCACGTAATCGATTTTTTAATTTAATTTAATTTTTTTTAATTATTTAATTTTGAACTACCCCCCTTCCCCTTGGTGATATTCAAAACTAACCCCTTCCCATCCACCAACAAACTTCACGTGTATTTTTAGTTAAGAAAAAAGAAAAAGTTGTAAAATTTTAGATTTTTTTTAAACGTATGGAATTTTTTTTAAAAAATTGAGATAAAAAATATATACACGTAATATCTTACTATACCCCTCCCTCCACCGAATAATATCTTGTGATTTTTTGTCGATTCAGCACTGTATCAGAAAAATGTTATGGCAAGGTCATGTTACGCTCCAACTTGCTCACAATATGCCTGTGAATCATACTAAATATTGTCAAAATATCATGTATTTGCTGTGCGTTCAGGCGTTTTACGCATAAACTGTAACGTTACTCGTGTGTTATGAAGCTGGGCCAGAAAGTCCCTGTTATCTAAGATCGTTATTTTGGCATTTGTGCGTTTTCTAGGTTAGGTTTCTATCTAATGGACCGATTTTGCAGCATAACAGACCAATGTTATGGCAAGGCCATGTTACGCTCCAACTAGCATACATTATGCTACAATAATCATACTGAATATTGTCAAAATGTCATGTACGAGGTCTGTTCAAAAAGTACCCGGAATTTTCGTTTTTTCAAAAAAATATTTATTTATTCGTCTACATTAATGTGGTCCCCTTCAAAGTAGTCCCCCCCAGATATAATACACTTATGCCAGCGTTTTTCCAATTTTCAAAGCACCCTTGATATTCACTTTTTGATATGTCCTTGAGCACTCTCAGCGATTCGGCCTTTATTTCTTCAATCGAGGAAAACCGCCGTCCTTTCATGGGTCTCTTCAACTTTGGGAATAGGAAAAAGTCACACGGAGCCATATCTGGTGAATATGGAGGTTGGGGCATGACTACGGTATTGTTTTTGGCCAAAAAATTACGAACAAGCAACGACGAGTGAGCAGGTGCGTTATCGTGGTGCAACAGCCATGAATTGTTTTTCCATAAATCGGAGCGTTTTTTTCGGATTGCTTCACGCAAACGTCGCATCACTTCAAGGTAATACTCCTTATTAACCGTACGACCTTGTGGTAAGAACTCTTGATGCACTATGCCGTTATAATCAAAGAAACAGTAAGCAAAACCTTGACATTCGATCGAACTTGACGTGCTTTTTTCGGTGTTGGCTCACCTGGGCTCTTGCATTGGGACGATTGGGCTTTGGTTTCGACATCATAACCGTACACCCATGTTTCATCACCAGTTATGACCCTTTCAAGCAAACTTGGATCGTTGTTGACGTCATTTAACAGCTCTTGAGCGATGTTCATGCGATTGCTTTTTTGGTCAAAATTTAGCAGTTTTGGAATGAATTTTTTGCCAACTTCATCAGCAACTTCTCTAATTGTGATTCGGCGATCATTCATAACCATTTTTCCACTTCTTTCACATTTTCATCGTTTGTTGACGTG